CTCTTTCTTCTTTTTTTCAGCATGGAATAAACCTATAACTTGTTCTATTATATAGTTTGGCACTACAGTTTCCAATAGCCCTTCCAAGAGTGAATGAATAAGCTCAATATTCCCCTCTGCGGAACAATTCTTAGTTGTATTAGGTTCTCAAACATTTTGACATTTAATCTCTAACGGCGTGTGAATGATTGTTCACAAAAACCTTTCATGCCTAAAACAGAAAGTTGTCAAAGATCAAATTTTATTCTCTTGCCCCAGTCTGCTTTCCTCTGGATTAAAACTCACCTCCTGAGAAGCATTATGCGCACCTTTCTTGCATCCCTCCCCCCAATCCTTTTGCACTCTTGCAGCAGCTCCCTGGCTCATTCCTCACAAAGGTAAGGGGGGATTCTGACCACTTCCTCCGGCCAGGCAAGTTACAACTAGTAAGCTTCCAATACCTTTTGTTTCTACGTCACATTAATTCGAATTTGCTGAAGAGAGAATGAAAGAAATCCATTTCCCTGCGTGTTCAGGTTTTGGGAACTGTGACACCAGTAAAGTGGGAAGCCGGTACTCACTGAGTTTACTCAGGAGTTTCTTTCCCAGGGTCTCGTCAGAGCCGCTCAGAGACAGGCTGCTGATGAAGGGGGAGGTGGGGTGGTCTGCTCCATCAGGAATTGCGTCTCTGTCTGCTGGGGGTAAAGAGGAAGAGATCTGACACTATGTTGTTGGGCTGCAATAAATCAGAGTATCACATCTCTCAATTCACTTTCATGCACATTTGAACAGTTTTAGTCTTTGAATTACAGTGCCCATCAGCAAAAGCAGACCAGTTCCTGCAATTTGTAATTTGCCGATGAAAGAGCCTCCTTTCTAGAATATCACTTGTGATGTGTTGTCCAGCGTGATGTATAATTCCCTCCACAGGTGAAAGAACCAAAACTGATGACAAAAACTGTGGCCCTTTGGTAACTTTGGTGTTACATGCCATGTTGTCTTGTGTGCAGTAGTGGACAAGAGAATCAATTCTGCACACTCAGGAAATCTGATTCTGGATGTAAGTAGTAGAATTAAGAATACCAAGTTCTTGGTATTCAGAGGTATATAAAGAAAGTCATTTTCAGCTCAATTAATTTAACCTCTGTCACTCACCGTATTTCCCATTACCAGTCAGGTCCTCTTTGATGTAGGGGATGTCGTCCATTCGCAGGAACACAGAATCGCTGGGGCTCTTCTGGCCATCCGACTTGCTGCCTGCAGGGGGAGACAGAGAGTAAGAATGACAGCAGCCAGCGAGGCAGGAGGCAGCTCTCCAGCCTCAGGATTTCGGGAAATGACCCCTCTCGCTTCACCTGCTGCGCACCCTTGTCAGAGCCATCCCACAGCTACAGTATGAACACATTTATAATAAAACATCTACTAAACATGAAAAATACACTCAAAGAAAATACAGCTGCTCTTAAATCTGTGAAACTACAGCAATCACCACTTTTTTTGTGTGTGTTGTTAAATTGCATTTGACAAATACAAATGTACAGCATGCCTTATAATAACACCACAGCTATGATTCACTGTGGGGCGAGGCATTCCTCAATGATTAAAGGCTTTTCTTGTCATATCTGATATAAAATGAAGCTGAAAGGAGAATTAAGCCTCGTGTAATTTGGACGCTTTCACGCAGCTCTGGTGCAGGCGTCTCCCAGATCTGATGTGTTTCTCCTGCCAAGAAGATTTGGGAGTGCCAACTGTCGAACCTTGTGCACGTCACGTCTGTGCACGTACTGTACCATCAGCTGCTTCTGCACTGGTCTCTACGGGATCTTTTTTTTTTTGCTCCCCTCAAAAACCTAATCTCTCAGCTACCTGGAGTCTAAAAGGGGCCCCATTAGAATTTGTCCCTTTTTTCGGTTTCATTTTTTAATGGTAGCGTACAATTGTTCAATCTTACAGTATGTCCTGACAGCACCTTCTGTATTGTCTCTGACCCCGCAGTTCTGCTCCAGCACTGCAAGCAGGAACACAGAGCAGAGGCGAGAGCGCTCTCTCCGTAAAGGCTACACCGCCCCCTCACCGCGCTAGCCCACGGTCGTGCGTTGTCAGACTCTGTGCCAGCCGTGTCCGGCACAGTGCTGTCCAGCTCCGCGACAGGCGGCCGGGCGGAAAGACTCACGGACGATGCGGTTCTTCTCGTTCAGCAGCGTGGTGCTGTGCTGGGTGCCGCCGGCGTGCGGACGGGGTCGGGCCGCGGCGCTCAGACGGGGCTCCGGGAGGGGCAGGGCGATGCTGTAGGGGCGAGCCTCGGGCACGGGGACCTCGGGGGTGGGGGTGTTGTCCTCATTCATCTGGGCGTCGGTGTCGGGGGTCTGCGGGGAGCTGTCTATGCGCGAGGCTGTCAGAGCATTCTGGTAGTGACTCCGTGTGATCTGTGCAGGGCAAGGGAAATTCGTAGGACGACCTTAATGTCATTTTCATACCCACTTCACAACAATTTAATCAACGGCGGTGATTGAAGTGTCTGATCAGCAGGAGTTGACGTGTTGTAAGAAGTGCCTGTGTTGGTACTGTTGGCTGTTTCCAGTGTGCAGTGGCCCTCTGTGCTGTGTACAGGAAGCGGGCACCTTGATGATCTGCAGGTCGGTGAGCTGGCGGACGGAGTAGTCCGGAAGGTAGGTGGTGGTGCTGGTGTTGAGCTGGCTCATGCTGCCGCCGTAGATCGTGGAGTCGGAGTGGTTGAGCCCGCTGCTGCGCGAGGGGGACCTGTGGACTGGACCATACAGGGTAGAGACAGGGCAGTGCCGCAGCTTTCAGAAAAACGTAGAACAAATTCTACGGAGAATTGAAACAATGCTTCTGTTGACCTACTGCGTTTACACTTTCTTTACTGATCGTAATGGATGACACTCTTAAAATGACCACCGAATGGGTGTTTGACCGATATGTTTGCTATGCTGCAGAAGTTTTATTCCGTGATAAACAAATAATCACACCCACAGTAGGTGATACCTACCCAGGTTTTTGTATTTCCAAGTAAATTAAAGTGAATTTGTATAAAAATGCCAAAACCTGTTATTTACAGTTTCTGCCACTAGGTGGCAATCCAGAACCAATTTTACCTGTACAGCTATTAATTCCTACTGGTTTACTATAAATCTGCTTTGCTGAAATTCTGAACAGATGCCAACAATAATAATCCCAAATTTGTAATGCACCTTTCTCTTTCGCATTGTGATGTAAACAGAGATAACCACACTATACCAATAAGACTAATAACGTTTACATCCTTTCTTTTTATAGACTCAGGGCAGATGTAAAACATGATGAGAAATGCCAGTAAAAAAGTCAGAGCGTTCAGTTATCAGTGCGGGTAAGGAACTTCTCCACATCCCTAGAGCAGGCAGTCTTAGCTGCACAGGAGAGAGAGTGTGGCAGTGGTCTTGTTATTCTGCCTGAGACCCTGACTGGCTGTGGACCCCTCCAGTCAATAGGAATGCATTCTGACTGAATAATGACAGCTGGACAAACTGCTTGAGTCAGCAGGCTGATGGAAAAAGAGCTGGCGATATCAAGTTCTCTCCAAGACAGAGGAGGAGCCAGGAAAAAAACAAGGTGCCCATTGTTTTGCTTAGGGTAGGTATTTTCTGTCTGGAACTTGATCTATATTACAGGATTATTTCCTTGCATAATTTCGATCAGACCAGTGTTATGAGTTAAATCTCCCTACATGGTGCAAGGGTGATTGTTGTCCAGCTGGCCTGAGACTTTCTTAAAGTTGGCTGGTAATTTGAGAGTCATTCATGCCTCTGCAGAGAAATCGGGGATGTCAGGGAGTCAGGATGACAGGGAGTTCCAAATGTGGAAGAGAGAGTCATATGAAAATTGCACATTGGTTTCAAACACTGTGGTGCTCTGTATGAAAGGTGATTTACTAATGCCCTGTTTATGATATAATTTTGGAACATTTGGCCGATTCCCAGTGGCTTTTTTCATTACATCAGCTTTCCCCCTAATTAAGTCAATTGCATCACCAAAGCCAGTGTGCACACAGAACTTGTTATACAGTATAAGCCAGACTCGTATTGCTGTGTTAAGTAATGAGGTTTTCGGTGTTTCTTTCCCTTTGCTTGGGTAGTGAAATGTTTTCCCTCAGTAAATGTAAAGCACGGGACTCTAACTCAGTTCCTGGAGGGACCAGTGTTTTCTGGTTCCCACCCGAAAAGCCAATTAAACAAAGAACCTAATTATTCTGTAAATTAGATATATAAAGGATTTCCTGTTCAGGTCTTTTACAGTTGATGAATCAAGAGATTGACTTAATTAGAGCCACAGATATCTCCATACCACCACAGAGCCTGGTAAGATGAATGACAATCATGCAGCTAATTAAACAATTAGACTAGCTAAATAAGTGAGAATTTGGGTGAAGACACTAGAACCTCCGGGAATCAAGACTGAGAACCCCGACATCGAAGACCCGACTCTCCTCTTGTGACAGAGGGCGGGAAACTCTCTGGGCTCTGGGAGCCAACTCCTGGCACAAAGGACACTCACCTGAGGAAAGGGCTGGCACGATGGCAGGAACACCGTAGTAGGTAAACGCTCCATTTTCAAACCGCAGAGCTTCTTTCCCAATCTTCACCTCCACACGGCCCTTGAAAACAGGATGTCTTAATCCCTATATTCGCAGGTATTACTGTCTTTAAGGAATGGGGAAAATGAACAGGACGAAAAAAGGCATCTTGGGTGGGTGGACAAGGCTCATAGCTGCCTCAATAACCCTGTACTCTGTATTTATCCTGCTTTTAATCTACAAATGATCAACCCTGTAGCCCTAAAAATCAATTTTTCAGGAGGAATTTTCAGTCAAAAGGTCTGAAAATCTAAATATACTGTATCATATGTTCTGTTTGTACCCATTACTGCTGTTGCTGGTTCGGGCAACTCTACCAAGTTTGTTAAGCTCCACCTACCATTATTAAATCTGTATTGACTATCCACCAGGATCCTATTTCCATATGTCAATCTGTATTGACTATCCACCAGGATCCTATTTCCTCTAGTTTAATTCTAATTGCATTTCCACAACCCTAACGTGCAGTAGAAGTAAGACGTTTTGGTTTAGAATTAATTAAGGTCACCCTTTTTAATGGATGGGTGCTGCATAAGCAGCTTTGCAGTCAGTGTGTATTAACCCTGTCTTGAGCTGTTGCTGGAAGAGTGTTGTTAATGCCTATGAATCAGGTCTCGTGAACAACCGCAAGAATAGCTTCACACGCTTGAGACTCCGGACTCCAGTGTGACTTGAAGAGGGAGTGGGCTAATGATCAGACCTCAGAAACAGAACTAAGGGGCAGGGCTGAAAGAGTGGGAAGAGAAGCATTTATGGAGGAGAAACTGGAATAAAATGGCTCAGATTTTAAGGTCTGTGATCTAACATTCAGAACTGAAGGACCGAGGAAGAGTGTGGACTGCACTCTAAAGACCAGGGGCTGCAAACCATGTGGACCGTGGATCAAGGCTGAAAGACAGAAATATGTGGCTCTTGTGGAGGTGAAAATACCTGCAGAACCAGGACGAAGTAATCGACAGGCTTGGTGCGCTGATACAGGAAGTGCTGTGCCGCCCTCTTGTTTCTCTCATCAAACTTGAGCTCCTGGACAACGTTGGGGTGCTTGAGCAGGCGGAGGAGGATCTTCTCAGAGAGGTAGGAGGGCTTGAAGGGCTCCACTTCTGAACAGACAAAGAGAGAGACAGTCCTTCAGTGGGATCTGCTGGTGTCAGTGAGACTCTGTGCGTCACCCAGTTTCTGTTCATTCATTTAATTTATTTAGTGTTTTACATCTGAACTGACTCCTGTACATAAAGGGGAAACCCACTTAATCTGCTCCTGCAGCATGTTGCCCAGCTGGGGGAAATAAAGCAAGCCATCATCATGGAGCAAACAGCCCCACTACACAGCAGGTCATGCGAAGAAGGGAAGATTTCGGGTCCAGAGGCAGAGCGCCGCCTACTGGTCCACCAGAACCTCTTACAGCAGCAACTTGGTTTTCCTTTGAAGTTCCCCACCCAGCACTGACCAGACCCAACTTTGCATAGCTCCTGAAATCTGATGAGTCAAATTGTGTGTTAAAATGAGTCACTGATCATGATTCTATGAATTATGAAATTTAATCTCACATAGACTGCTCTAAGCTATTGTGCAGCTGTTTTAGTGATTCATATGTCAAAAGAGTGTCATTCATTGCAGGAGATGTGTGCAATAAAATATTTATTGTAACACCTTTACTATTTCATATGATACATTTTGTACGATCCGCAAATATTTTTAAATTATTTTTGTTTTCAAATCAGCTAAGTAAAAGTACAGTTTACAACATGAGCAGGTACTTCTAATATGAAGGTTAGCATTTTCCTGTGTGAAAACACAATGTTCAAACAGCAACATACAAACAAACAGCAACTAATTTCAGATCAAAAGGGAATTTTAGCTTTATGAAAATCTGGCAAAAATAGGTGCTGGAATCCTCACTGCAAACTAGGTATGGAAAAAAAACATGATAAACTTCTCTGTTAGATTCCCCCCCAAAACAACCAGAACTACAATAGCGTGCTCATAGGGAGTTTCCTTCTCTTCAGAAAGCCAATTTTCCAGGTGAACGTGTGCACATTTTCAAACAGCCACAGATATAGTGGCTTTGTCTTTCTGTATGGGTTTTCACTGGGACACAGAAAAAATTGATACTCAAAAAAGGTTCCCTACCTGTTGCCAGGAATCGATGTGTGGCCAGGAGCAACTGGGGAGAGACATTCACGTTCATTTCATTTTCTGACAGCTTGAAGAGGGAGAAGTCCTGTTGCTTCCTCTCATGATGGGACACCCTCCTCTTGTTGCGGTTATCAGCTGCACAAATGACACAGAACTAAGGCCCGGCCCGTTCCCTCCACACTGCTGACCCCAGACCCACTGGAGTCTGTCTCGGCGCAGGAAGGACTGTGCCACCACAGGGTCTCCTGCTTTCTTCTTGACCCTAGCGCTCAGTTACTTCCTTGACCTTGCTCCCTCCCTGGACAAAAAAACTCCATACACTTTATGGGCACCCGAGTTCGATTCTTCACAATCATCATCTATAAATATATATATATACAGTATATCCCATTGAATGAATTAATCAATAAATGTAATATTTTAATATTAATGAAGGACTGAAGCTGAAATGAAAATCAAGGAAACCCTCTGAGAGTTCTTGTACTCTGCTCTGTTTTTACCAACCAGCTCAGTACCTACTGAAATGCTGCGCACTGTAGCAGAATGAAAATGGAAAAGTTGTGTTTAGACATCCTGTTAAAGATGGCACTAAAATCCAATTATTCATGTGCTGTGAAAGGCAGATGCCTAGCTCGTTATCTTAAAGCAAGATTGTGGACAGCGAGGATGTGTAATGAGATGTCACATGGAAGATGTAAACAAGTATACATAAAGTATATAAAGTATATATAAAGAAAAAAATTACTGACTTATCATTTCAAAACAATATCTGATTTATATGGAATATATCCGGTTTTACGAAAGCCATCGAAAGAGATCAAGCTGTCCTCTCCTATTCTATCCTGAAGGTTATCACTGATTTAATTTGTCACGCGTGCAGTCAACAAACTGTCGTACTGTAGAGGTCGGTCTCATCCAAGATCTCAGACTTGATGATCTCCTCAATGATGTCCTCCAGGGTGACAATGCCCATCACCTCGTAGAAAGGGTCGCCCTCTCCCTCGTTGTTCACCCGCTGCACAATAGCCAGGTGAGATTTACCTGCACAGAGACAGAAGCAAACAGGTGTCACTGAAAGGAACTATGTCAGTTAGATGCAAGAGAAACTGTGCGTTTTATGTGCCGTACTTGGTCGGGGATCACCTTCTGAGCCAGTACCCAAAAAAACTACAGAACTGGGAAGAATCTGACCATGTGTCTATCTGTCCAGGGAGTGTAATTATCACTGATACAGTAAATGTTATGGCCACCAATTATCCTTTCTGCATGACATTTTAGTTTAAAGACTGTCTGTATCCTTTTTGGGATCCTTCTGCCCACATAGACTCCCTGGGTATAAACAATATACTTATAATGAACAATATACATATAATCTCTTCAGGTTGTTGACATAGTTCATATCTTTTATCCCAAGCAGTTGTCAATGAACCGGTTTTTCAGAGCAGAGTATATCTAGTATTTCACTTTAATAGGAACTTCTTGGCTTTAAATGCATTTCATTATATGGTATATGAGAAAAATAAGCAGAAGTGCAAAACCACACAAAATAATACCATTCTGGAAGTTGGAAAGAAAACAACAGCAAGAATTCTGAGAGGGGCAGAGTTCTACAGACTTTAATAAGCATGGAAAAGTGAGTCATGGCCCATCTTGGAGCAGCATCAGGGGGGCAGAGAGGAGGTGAGGAGGCAGGGGTGCTGGAGCCCTGGGTCAACAGCACTAACTGGGCTGTGCAGTTGGTACGATTGCCAGAAAAGGGTTGAGCTGGCTCTGCTCAGCCTTGCCGGTGCTGCCTGGAGTCACAGCAGTGGTGCACAGACATGCTGGCGCACCAAATGTAAGGTAGATACATAGAGGCTGACAGACAGGCTGCAAAAAAACGCAATCATCCATCTAGTGACTATGCCTGTAATTAGAAACTTTCCAAGTAATGTGATAAAAGGAAACCTTGAATCATTTTTTTAAACAAGACAGGTTTTTTCAGACAACTCTGTGAATGAACCATTACATAAACACAGCAGTCATACTGATTACGTAAGGTGGTGAACTCTTGAGGTTTCTGGCTTGTAGGCTTGGACATCCGCTGTCCCTGTGTTCTCAGTTGTCTGGGCACACTACTCATGGGGGAAGTGATCTGGTATTTGGTTTACTGATTCTTTGAAAGGCTGACAATCTGTCATGCTTACAACAGCGCTAATTATACAAGTGAAAGCAATCAGTCTTGTCTCTCAAAGTCCTATAATAAAATGAGCATTTTAGGTCTCTGACACCTCACATACAGTATAGACTTTGTCAGAATCTATCTATCTATCTGAGTGTTCGCTTTTAGTATTTTCTAAAGTCTTTTTTTAATTGCACAGACTGATGCATGATCTGTGAAGTGCTCCAATGTTAGGGAACCAGATGTTAGACATACCTAACTGAGATTTATGCGATACAGTATAGCGAGTCACTGACTATCTCTGCCATGTGTCATATGATCCAGTTTGGAAGTGACTTAAAATTGCAAGGATCAAAATGAATCCAGCTGTCCCCTATGACCCACGAAATTCAAGACAAATAAGTAAGTCTTGTGTTGCTTTTTACGAGCACCTTCTGACTATCTTCTGAGGGGCCTGACTGATCCCTTAGGCCCTTTGATCTTTGCTGAACAGCAGACTAGTAGTGGCTCACCCAGTTTGTGCATCCTGGCTGCTACCAGCTGTGTGGGACTCTGAGGGACCAGGATTAAATCCCTGCAGCTTGCTTAGGAAGCTATCTCATGTGCCCTGAATGGTGCTGCTTGATGTGCAGTGCCTGACATTACATCATCAAGCCATTACATAACTCGCCTCCTTGGAGGAATCTAGCCCACACGAATGTCCCTGCTAATCCCTGCACACATCCAGCTCCTTCTGGAGGTAATGCCAATAGGAAGGCCACCATCTTGTGACTGTATGTGGGTCATGAATATCAAGTACCACGCATCAGTGATGTAAAAAAAATAAAACACTGGATCACTTTGTGCAATTACTAGATGAGTCCTCTGTTTGTGATCCAGAGAAACTACAGCGATATACCTTTATGATGATCCTAACGTGATTCTGAAGTTTCATACCTTGGTGGATAAATATTGCTTTGAAGCTATTAACAGCTCATCTTCAGCAGACATGCACCAGCACTGATGACATTTATTTGAACAAAAGCAACTTAGAATCTCAGTAAACAAAGTGCAACATAAACAAAGTGCTACAGCTAGGAAAGACCTCACAGGCCGGCTCTTCCGCTTCTACAAATGAGCATTGTGTAACATGAACATAAGCACCTGCATGCCGGCCCAAACAACACCTGTAAGAGATAGAACCAAGCCTGAATTATTCAGTGCAAATTTATGTATACGAAATGGTAATGGCTCTTCAATATCTGTGTGGATTCAAAAGGCTTTAGACGTGGGGGTCTTCTGTTTGATGAGAAGTTAAATATTTTTCACCCTCCTTTGAAAAGAACACTAAGAAATAAAGTAACAGGTAAGGGGCTCTCAGGGCCTCAGTGGAAGAACAAATCCCAGTGACATTTCACATGCTGCCCCCCTGCTAGAACCAATCCATTTTTAAATGGGAGGGCTGTAGGAGGAGAGAGCACTGTGTTCAATTTTTCATGGTTTCCATCTGTGCACCGTCAGGGGTGACTGAAGTGCTGTAGGGCTGTGGAGACGTGTGGGGGTTTGGGGGGGGAGCTCGAGGCAGGAGGGGAGAATTCAAGCTCTCTCTCGCCCCCCCAGTGACAGCCGCGTTGTTCCTAATGACGAGCCGGAGGAGCAGGGCTACAGCGAGAGAAGGTCAGGGGTGTAGTGGGATTTTCACTGCTGCTCTTTCTCCGTTTGTTGTTGTCAGCATGGAAATGTCAAACGCTTCTTAATGGTCCTTAAAGGGGCATTTTAATACCACACTTCTAAAACATTCACTCATTCATTTCATTTTAAGACTGTCACCTGCCATTAGTTAGTTTCGTCCATTCTTGTCTAGCTTGAAGCACATCTGAAGCCGAGTCTCATTATATTTTTTAACGCAATGAGCTGGGGGGTTTGCATGCTAAACTGTCTCATTTCAGATAAAGTGCTCACCAGTGAGATTATTACCTAGCTCAGATTCTAAACCTCACAGATTGCCTTGTCCATCTGAAGAGAGGATTATTATGCAATGGATGATGTCATATGAATTACAAGGTTCAATTCTGACATGCGCTCTAAGAAACGATGATGGAAATAAAGCCAATTATAGGCTATAATGTTCCTTTGAGCTAAAACATCACATTACTTTACTTCAGCTCTTGACATACTGACAGTCATGGTAACAAGTATGAGTCATGGTTTATATAACAGAAAGTTTGAATATTTCGTCTAATGATTTCCTACATGTATCGTTATATAAAACCTTATTTCTCACACAATAACTACAGGGATCATTACAAAGGATCAATTTCAGCACATCCTCTCTTTCTGTAAATGCACAATCCTTTCATACTTAGCACTATAAAATATTGAATGAGGCTGTAATGTGAATAAGAGGAAACATGTGACCACTCTAGAACAACAGATGATTATGAATTAATTCACAATGGATTTAAACAGCAGCTGTGTATATTGATACCAGAATTACTAACAAGTTTAATTACTGGTTCCCGTTGTCATGGGAATGAAAGTAAATCCTGCCTCCTCCCTGAGACACAGACGGCCTCCCTCATTTCTCATCAGGAATTCACACTACCTGGAACACCGGAAGCCCTGGATGTTCAAAGTCTAAGCAGGTACGCTTTCTCTCAGTATTCCTGGGTCAAATCCCAAAGCCTTGCAGAAGTGAAGAAGAGGAAATCAAACAGGCAATTAGAGTCAGATACTCTGATACTCGGAGTGACAACAGGGCTCCGTTGATCAAAGCTCATCCACCCCGGCTGGGAGAGTGCCAGCCTTCAGCAGTAAGACTGGGCCCCTCCTGTCCTCAGTGAGACTAAAGGGCAGAGGGTGAGCCGCCCCAGCAGGCTGGTTCTCTCTCACAGCCCTCCGCAGGGCTCCTGGACGACCGCAGGCTCAGGACACAGACAGCGTACACTGTCATTTTCTCCAGTTCACAATATTAATATTGTTTGCACGCTGTATTTTTATATCTCTGACAGCTGGGTGTGGGTGGACAAATCCTCTATATGTCAGGAAAAGTACTCATCAGTGACCATGGCCCCATGTCTGGGAAAGAGGCCAAGATTTATGACCATGACCAATCCCAATTAGAAACTTAAGAATAGAGCCGTTTATTTTTCTTTTCTTGGGGAATATATAAATATACATTTACCTACAAGGAGAAATGAGAGCTTTTTGTAAAGTCACTGTCAGGAGAGAGACAGTGCTTTGTGCCAAACAGCATATCTTCAACCCCGAAGACTGTTGTCCCTAGACAATATGATTATATATGTGCCTCACTGTCTCCTGGCTGGTTCTGCAGAACATTTTAAGATTGTTCTAGAAATATAAACCCCCAGAATTTTCATATGCCCTTTTATTTATATGATATTGCTTTGCATATTACTGTACACATTTCCATATATGTGAAACATTTACTGAGCCCCTTCTTTTCTGGGGATTAACCCTGTCTCATCACTTTGTGGGGGTGCACAATACTGTTCACACATCAGCTGTGAGATCCCTCATCCTTTCTGCAGCAAGGGCACGCCAGAGATTTCTGAGAGATGCTGTGGAGATGTTGTGGACGGTGGGTGAGGGGTGAAACAGGCAGAGAGCCCCAGATAGCAGCCTGAGAGGGCTGGTGCACCCAGCCTGCTCCTGGAAGCTCGGGTCTGAAAGGAAAAGAAAGAGTGGCTGCTCGCTGGCAGACACACCTGGCCAGAGAGCTCAGGCTGGTGTTGTGTTAAAAAGGGAACGAGTTCATTCTCAGTGTTTCAAACAGTGCTTTTGCAGCTAAATTCCAGCCTGCAAAGTGTCCAGCATATTTGCAAACTGTTAGCAGTATCAGAGAGTTATCACTGTAGCGAACTACAAACAATAACATACTCTGGTATCAGACCAGCTCTGAGCAAGCTTGAGAACAGTTATCTTTGCAGTTCTGCGGATCGCAAAGACCCTGCCTACAGTTCTGCTAAGCTCCTTCTGAATGTAAAGAGCTATGAGCTGCATGGAAAGGTTTTTTCATTTTAACTTTCTGCTTAGAAACAACTCCCTTGTTCTCTGCCATGTGACATTGCATGTTAATCAGCTTTTAATGTTACAACATGTACAGATTACTTATTGCATTGAATAGGTTTTGGTGTATTAAGGCGATATAAAGAGAAATGTTTGTTTTCCAAGTCATACTTTCATAGTTTCATATACTGGCTTTTCAGGATATCTTTTATTATATATGATTTATGAAATATATTCTCGCTAATACTGTAAAGATAATGGTAGAAAGAAAGCATTTTCCTCCACTCTTGTCATCTGTCATACAACCCAGGAGCACAAACGTGTTTGTCCACATTTCCTCAAACCATTCCCAATCTGTACAGGGCTCAGTACTTAAACCATACCTTTTACACCCCATCACATATTCTTCATGCCTGGATTCATCACACATTGTAGATAAGCACAGTTCTCCAGATTAACAAATCAATAAATACATTTACACTTTATCACATCACAATATTGAACAGAATGTTTCACACTAGCATTTTGATAAGACAAAAACATTATCATCTGCCCCAGGTAAACTTACTGCCAACTCCCTCTTTGGATATACAGTAACATTTCTATAATTAAGCTGTAATTAAGCTCTGACCACTACTGTGTGAAACACTGGGCTCTAACTTAAAATCCATTTACCACTGTAGTGTATCTGATATCTCTTTGAAAACTAAATATGTTGTGTAAACTGTGTAAATATAAACCATGTTAAATGAAACCACTGATAGCACAATAGTCATCCATTTTCTAATCGATTCTTCAAATTCAGTGTCACAGGGAAGCCAGAGCCTATCCCAGCAGGCAACAGGCACAAGGTAGGGCACATCCAGGAAGGGACGCCAGTCCATCGCAAGGCAGATAAACACATAGACAACCAGGCACTCACATTCCGGAACATTTGCCCAGAAGCTGATTAACTTACCAACATGTCTTTAATCTTTGGGAGGAAACCAGGGCACCAGGGGAAAACTATGCAAACATGAGGAAAATGTATGAACTCCAGACAGAGAGCACCAAGGAATTGAACCCAGGGACTGCTGCGAGGCAGCATTGCTAACCACTGTGTCACTGTGCTGCTGAAAGCAACAGTCATTTCTGAAAATATTCTACAAACTTAAAGGCGAAAACAGCTTTTTGTCACTGAATGCTGAGAAGCCAAGCCTAGGATGGAGACAGTGCTCAACAGGAGCAGCAGCAGTTAAAGGTCTTTTCATCTCAGCGTAAGCAAGGTTTTAAATTCCTCAGGCGCCAGAAATATCGAACATATTACAGTCAGCAGCATCAACTTTACTCTGAGAGATGACCTCCTTCGTGGGCCAGGGTTGCGAGAGGGTGGGAGGCAAGCCTTACCTTTCTTGAACTCTTCCAGCATGGCGTCCAGCTTGGTGTCGTTGAACACACAGTGCAGGGGGTGGTTGTAAAAGTGGGTGATGGTTTTCAAGGGGGTGCAGTCGTCCGGGTCCACGAAAGCCAGGTCTTTCACAAAAAGAATATCCACGATGTTGGACCGCTCGTCCTCGTACACCGGGATCCGGGTGTATCCGCTCTGCATGACCTCTGACATGGTGTTGAAATCCAGCACGGCGTCCGAGGCCAGCATGAAGCAGTCGTTCAGCGGGGTCAGCACGTCTTCCACGGTCTTCGTCCGCAGCTCCAGGGCCCCCTGGATGATGTTCAGCTCCTCTTTCACCAGATCGTGGTAGGGGTCCGTCACCCGCAGCATCTCCAGCAGCTTCTCCCGGGTGTAAAAGCTGCTGATCTCCTGGTGCAGGACAGCGTCCAGCAGCTTGCTGATGGGGTAGGAGATGGGGAAAGAGATGAGCATCAGCAGCCGCGTCACCCAGATGGTCTTGGAAGCGATGGCGAGTCCGTGTCTGGAGGCGACAGAGTGAGGCAGGATCTCCCCGACGAAGAAAATGCCGACGGTGCAGGCCAGAATGGAAACCCATGTCACTCCGAATATGTGGCTCATCCAGACTGCCAGAGAGGCGTTGATGAGGGCGTTGCCCAAGAGCAAGGTGCACAACAGGTAGTTGCCGTGCTTTCGCACGGACTGTATCCGCCTGGCATGCTTCTGCTCCTTGTCGGTACCGCTGTTCTGGATCACCCGGAGCTCCACTGGGTCCAGTGCCAGCAGACTTAGGTTAAGCCCGCTGAAGACGGCAGAAAAACCCAGGAGTAACAGCGAGACGATGACCTGCAGCCAGACGTCGGGCTCTGGAGAACGTTCTACGACTGCCAGCCAGAAATCTCTAGTCCTGAAGTGCTCCCACTTGATCCCATCAAAGGCACACATGGAATAATATTTGATTTTCTCACCTTTGCGCAGGTCCTTGGCGAGAAGCTCCACCAGGATTGAATTCTGGCTGGATGCGGACTTGAAAGAGCCCAAGAGCTCAATATCGGTTGTCCTGGCATTCTTGTCCACACAGAGGTTCCGTTTGGGGTGCACCTGTCCCTCTCTGCCCGGACTTGGCTCTTCAATGAAAGCGATCCACGGCGCTGTAGCCGCATCCCCAGCTCTGCCGCTGACACTTCTGTTGAGTCTCTGCTGGGATGCTGCATAGTACACACGCAGTCTGAACCGTGTTCCCTCAGTCGCCTTCAGCACCCCGTCTTCTACGGACAGCTCTCCCCCTGTGTCCTCCGGCCTGAATCCGAGCAGCCCAAGGGCCGATGCGGGCAAAGAAATGGCAAAAATGAGGAGCAGAGGCAGGGAACCGGGTCGCAGGATGCAGGTCGGAGCGCCAGCAGCCGCAGCATCCGCAGCCATGATGCTGAATGTGTTGTATGAGGACATTGGCGAGCGCAGTCACGTGGCGATGTCACGCTTTATCACTGAAATCAGGGTAACAGCTGGCGTACAGTGTAAATACAGAGGGGCTAAGTGACCGATGGAGGGTAGACCTCTTTAAGAATAACGCGCTGCAGTGACGTAATGTCATTTCGCAAGAAGCGAGGTTACAGCACATACTGTAATCAGAGAAGCGGGGCACCAAAAGCTGCCAGGTTCTGGAAATCCGTGGAAGCTCACGGTTCGTGTGAGAGCAAACGTTTTTCCAATAACGCTGTTCTGCTCCATGCTATTTAACATCCAAAATCAGACAGCTGTCAACTAACCACGAATCACCGCTGATTTTGTTTAAAAACAAAAACGCGTGGAATAGATTCATTATTTCAGCGTGTCATCATTTCTGTGCATAAAACAATACAAGCGCTGGGACCAGCGTCACCTTCCGAGCTGCAAATGAGCAAGAAGAGGTTAATCTCATGCTAAAAATGGAAAAGAAAGGGCAGATTCGCCGAATTTCCGATTAATTCCCTGCAGTCCCCAATGTAACCTGTCACAGCGATCTGTTTCTCCCGATAAAGCACTAGTATCTGAATTTAGGGTTGCATTTCATATTAAACGACGCATTCAAATTTAAAGTTAAACACTTAATTGATAAATATAGACAGGTTATGTTTGGTATGTGTCTTTTAAGGTTCTGTTGCGTGTACAATGAAAATGTTATTCTAACATAATACTTTCTTATAGCTTTCGAAAACTAGGCGAATGTCCTATAAAACCGCCGTTGTTCCTGTTGCAATCTCTTAGCAAAAATTGTTATATTTGCCACTGTAAGGTTGTTTGTACCATTGAAGACGTTAAAAGTGTGTTTTTTGGTCCTGCAAAACGGCATTATCATGACATTCCAGAATGTCCTAGATGACCTTGAGAGATGGTGACGGTGTCATTTTTTTATCGTTAAGTTCTTGTAACAGAGAATACAGTAACAACATAAGCCACAGATGCTGATGGGTCGCTCGGCAGAAAAGGTTGTGGGGACTCGCCACCGAGGAAATTAACCCTGAAGGAGCGATTAAAAATCCCAGTTTAGGTCACTTGATGAAGTGCATGCTTCGATTTGCTAAATCCAAACATTGGCCTTCACATCACCGCATTTTTGTTTGCAAATTTACAAGTCATGAGTCTTTTAAAATGTATTTTGTATTTTGGAGCTTATCCAGAAGTACACAATAAAAAACTTGACACTTCGTCCTTTCTGTGCGCTTCAAATAATTTGTTTTCGCTTCTCCACAGCCGCGCTGGAAAAGAAATATGAAGGGTTGGATGAATAAAAGTCTAAGAAAACACCCCGCTTATTTCAGGCCCGTCCGGTAGTGTGCGTCAGACACGAAACAATTGGGTTCGGTCGCGTTTTTCAAATCGCGTAGAATAAACAATATCATAAACTTAAAATATGTTTCCACCTGCACCGTTTTGGTGACACACAGAAGTTGCAGAATATTTACAATTATACCTCCCTTCATTATAACAGTCAGGTACTTCATAAACGTGAAGATGATGTGCATGATTTGCAAAATCTCTGTGATGGGGCAGTGATAGATGGAAAAATAAAGAAACTCTGGCCAGTTATATAGAAATACACCACGAGGTGGCACCCTTTGCACTGTCTTGGCTGTGAAAAGCGTGAGCTAGTTTAGGATTCAAGTACCGCGCACCAGGAGTGCCAGTCTAATCGTGAAATATTTAAATGTCCCCCCCCCACCCCGAAATAAAGAAATTCGGAGGCAGAGGAAGCAGACGTGTATTTCCACTCAGCACGTAGTTCACGTTGCTCATTAACAGAACCACAACAAACCACACAGTTCTGTCAAGCCCTGAAATACATTTACCACACCTGAAGAAGGCTCCACGGCCGAAACGTTGTGTTTTCTTTCTTCTTTTTTTCAGCATGGAATAAACCTATTACTTGTTCCTTTGCAGCCTACGCATGCTGACGCAGCTACCCATCGGAACTACTAAAATACATTTAGCGTTTTTATAAAAGACCCCTTCTGAAATGCTATATGTAAGTCCTTTCTGGCTCCAGGGCACAAATATTTAACAATCATTCATGTTACATAAATAAGGCATGCTTGATTTTGTAAGGTAAAACTGAACACGTTTTGCACAGGCAGAGAGACTTGAGAGATACGGTAGCAGTTCGAATGGCCGGGCGTTTACCTGACTTCACGATCTCATGAGGTAAGAGTAACGTGTTTCTTATGATTTCCTTTATTGTTTACGGACTGTCTGTTTTTTTTCCAATGACTTGGAAGGAAACGCATAATGAGTTCAAAATGAATTCATCGTTCAGCACTGCTGTGACATACAGTAAGCGCTCAGCTGGTTGGGCTAACGCAGACGCGCTCTAGCAATGTGCAGTGATAGCCAACAAATAATTGTGTTTGTGTAGCACTTTCCACTTTTTGTAGTTTTCCTAATTCATGTAATGTGGTGTTTCAAGATGTCTATTACTCTAGTATCGTTGATTATACATATTAAAAGCAGGTTGTTGCGGCCCACAGAAATTTCTTTGCTGGAGCAGTGCGGTTACCATTCATGTCTGTATTTTGCCACTGACAGTGCACCGTAAATCCAGAATTCTTTTTTCTCACGGAATCTGTGATTGCGTTCCAGTTTTCACACATCATCACTGCTTGGATAAACCCTGTTCCTTTGAAATGTGTGCTGAAACGCTGGAATCCTTCCACTGCACATTGAAAACAAAGATTGGGAAGAAGAAATCTGCTAACCATTTATGGATTAACATTTCCAAAAATGTGCTCTCAGAAGCACAATCTGGCTTCAAAAGATCATTCATTATTATGGTTGTAGCCTAATGGTTTTAGGATTCGCCTCCGGTGTCACGCAAAAAACAACCCGTACCGCACACTTTACCCTAGCCTGACGAATTTCCATAGATTATCCTTACAAACATCTTCTCCAAAATATTTTTTTTTCATTCAATATACGAGTCTGTAGATACGTACAGTACAACGTTCACTTGACTGATTTTCCTTTTGCAATGTGTTCTTGCTTCTTTGGTTGTTGTTTTATTTTAAAAAGCTGGATATTTCACAAGACACCTGTTCAAATATTCAAACGAAAACCGCACAAGTTTCTCTCGCGTTTCTCAAAAAAGACTTGTCCGCTTTTGTGTTAAGAAACACCAACAAAATATTAGCGGTTTTTTTTTAAAAGATGGGGGACTAGAAAAACACGGCTTTGTGTTGTTGTGTGCTGACTTTACCACAATATTGAGTCGTCTCGGCTTGAAAACCAGACTGTATTATTCTCAGAAGTTTTTTAGTGTAGTCTACCACAAGAGCGCTACTGCTGCTGCAGTTATAACATTTTTGTTACCGCTCGTAATAATAGGGTGATGATAATTGGTGATGTCTGTGGCTTAGTATGCATGTTTTTGCATTTTGTCTCGGTATCTCCTATTCCTCTTCACTCCGAGTCAGGGGTTCCAAGACTTTCTTTCTGGCTCGGGTATCCTATCTGAAAAGGCTGTTTTTAATCTGAACCCACTGTTGAAACTAACAGCAAATTTCAATGCGGTAACTGGTTGTATTTTTAGCCTTAACCTGACAGTAAAATATTTGGGCTAACTCAGCGCGCAGAGGAGTAACAATGAATGAGGTGAGACATTTTGCGTTAAGGAGTCCAGAATTATTAAGTGAGAATGATTCATTTAGAGTGTAGCTGAAGTCTTTGCAGGCTATTTAAGGATCATCTGGACTCCAGTGTGACAGGAGCACGGTCGCTTTCTTTTTAGATCCTAATAAGTTAAAATAAGTCTTTAACCCCATTTCATCAGGAAATAAAGGGACCCGACGTATGAAGTTCTTCCAAAGTTTATATACAAAGAAGATTAATATAGATTTAGATTTGAAACTCTTTGTGTTGAATCTTTGTAATTACTTAAATGCAAGATGAGCTCATAAAACCCAACAAGGAATGCCTTTAATAGTTTGTTGTGTGTAAAGCTAAATATATAAAAAATTCTGAACGTATTTTAAAACTTATCTGAAATAATGCGAATCTCAAACTGTTGAACTGCCTAACCACTTATTATTGAATACTTGCTTGCCTGACCTTTTGCACGATTGTTTCGCGGTGTGAAATATTTATAATACTTCTTTTACAAATGTGTCCTTTTATTTCGGGTAACCCCACTTAGTTTTTTTTTTTAATTACAAAGGACTAAAGAGACTATTGTTGAATTAAATCCTACAATTTAAACATGAACTTCCCGTGTACTACTTAAACTTTTTAACTAAAATAAAAAAAAAAACATTGGTCAATTCGCTAAGGAGTTTCGAGGTTAAAAAGGAAATCATCTGTTAACCAGAGTCGCGTTATCCCTGGATTAAGTCTTCGCTACTGACCCCTTCATTGTGTTTTACTGACACCTGCCACTGTGATTTTAAAAGAAAGTAAACGTACAGTCACATCAGCCCCCGCTCCAGTCCACCTGCTCCGCTCTCGGGATAGGAGAGCAAAACCCACGTCTCAAAACATGCTGATCTTAATATCCGTAACCGTGTGCTGCTCACACATCTCTGCCATAGTGTAGGCGATTCGTTTTCTACGGAGCAAGTGTTCTTATATATATGGGGTTTGTATTACCTTAGTATTTAAAATCCTTAATCTGATATTTTGCCCTTTTCAGAATTAGACTGATTAATAAACTTCGGAGTTTCGAAATAAAGCCCAATGAGGAATCATGCAGGCTAAGTTAAAGCTACATAGATCCCATATAGATCTACAATATTAAATTATTAACATGATCTGATTAGTTTCAGTCTTCAGATGCAGGCTGTCGTTCGTCCCGCTCCCTGCTATAACAGGTAGTGCTTCTGATGGCATCGCAGATAAGTGGGCACAGGTCCTCGACATCCGCATTCACATGTGGATCCGAGTAACGGTCGAATTTATTAGCTGCGTGTTTTCAGCAACCTCTCCCTCACGTGCCTCATTAAAACGTTCAGAAGTTCGTCTCGAGCCACCGCCGGCAAACAGTCGCCTCTGTCAGACGTCAGCGTGGTGCTGCACTCCACGGCTGAACGTCTTGAACGACAGCAGATATCGTCTTGTGTCTGGTGTACATTGTATGTTTTACCTGACCACCTAGTAACATGAAATTACGTTGAGGAAGACTCTTCTATTATGGAATGCTGAAGGCTCGGAAAAAGGAGAAATCAGATATCATCCGTTGTACCAGATTAGAAATTGCGTTGCTTTTTGGAATCGGTGACTATTTTGAGGTAAATGCCATAAGACAACAGCAATTTAAAATCATAACGACAACAACAATACTGATACTTCATTTCACGTTGGAATTAATCACTGTTCTAAATCTGTTGACTATATTTTGACAATACATAACAAGCGTTGCATCTGTAGAGACCTAGTTTCTTAAGGTTTACGAATTGTATTTTTTTCAGGCGTATGCGAGTATTTCAGTATATTTAATGCCAGGTGCTTTTTGTCTTGGTTTAGAATCTGCTATTGCCATTTAATCGACTGGTTTTGAAGACAGACGAGTAAGTGAAACTGGGGTGAAATGAATGACAGGGGAAGGTGGCTTCCTGTTTTGAATAGTACAGGTAAGCTCAGACGGACATTTTGGCCGGTGCATCTATAATGTGTATCGTATATACATATTTATATGTGTAATATATGTGGCTTACATGCTGACTTAGAAAAAAAGCTTCATATTTTATCATCTTTGCTGGCTGGTTAGTTCAACCTTAAGGATGGATTTACGTAGGAGCAGGGAGTGACGAGTTGAAATAATGTTTTTCTTAATTTGTTGTTTCATTGCTTTGTATCTAAATAACATTTTATAACGTAGCTATGTTCCAAATAGCTATAGTATTATAATTTAAAATGTTCAAGCAATAACCTACTTGAACTTATTCCAGCAATAACATTGCTACTAAATGTAATTTTTATGTTAAACACATATATATGACAAGTTTTAAATATTGTATAAAACACTAACAAAACTCTTCAGGATACAAATAGTTTTATACAAAATAAATGCACATAGCAAGTAATTGTGTTTTATATCGCTTATAGGCTGTACAGTGATTATCCCTTGATTGGTTTATATTGGGGAGGTGGGGATTGGCTTAGACTGTTCAGTTGAATATAGTTTATATGACCACTGTGTGATTCTCTGGGCTTTTGATTTTTGACTTTTACCAAAATACCTGATGCCTGAGATACATTAAATGTATATTTCAAAATGATACATCTCTGCTTATATGAAAAAATAATATAAAATGACACAGAATGAAAGTAACAGTGATAAAGGTATTTGCGCTCCATTATTAAAATAAACTTGGTCATTGTGCATCCAAAAATATCATCCATCTCCAGTATAATAAGCTATAACCAATTAAAAGATATATATATTTCAAATTAAATCCCCTTAATATACGAGAGGCAGGCAGGGAATTTCCCTCGTGTTAAATATAAACTGGAATAAACAACTCCAGAAGACGGCAACTTGACAAATTAACTGCACTCTTGTTATATTTCTTTCTAACCAGCTGAAGAATTCCTTTGTCGGATTTTATCATTATTTAAACCTTGTGTATTGCATAAAGACTTAATTTTCCTTTCTAGAAAAAGGGACATGGCTTTGTTTTATTTAGATAAATTATTTTCATATGAAGAAGCCAACACAGTTGAATATCTCCCCTATCCTGATCACTGAATTCTCCTCTTGAAGAAACAGTTCACAATCGAAGACAAAGTGACCTTCTTAAAATGGTGGTTGGGTAATTTTTTTGCTTATTGTCGGCGAATAAGTCATAAGTAACTATTTTGTAAAGAATCAAATAGGTCAGATACAGTATAACTGTTCAACTGCCACATGATGGTCTGTGTGAAAGTGTTCAGGCTGTGTACACAGCTACTCACAGATTGAACTCCAGTATCTAATCTGTATGTACACTCAAAGAAACAGAACTAGACAAGTTCCCATGTAAACTATTGTACAAATAATAGGATTCACACATCTTAATTACGTAATTTTAGTCATGTTAAAATGCTAATTTTGAGTATTAGGGAAGAATGGCTAAGATCAAAGGAAACCTCTTAATAGTTTTTGAAGCACTAACTGGTATAAGCAAAAATAAACACATTACTAAACATTTTCTTCAGGCCATAAAAGACAAATTATAACTACACTTAAAATTTTGAGACAACCCCAAGCAGACACACACATATTTTAATTTTCTAACAACAAAAAAGTTACCAAAATTGGCCAGGAGGATGTTTTAAGCATGTAAAAAAAAATCTTTCAAAATTTAACTTCAAAAGAAGTGCAGGATGAATTACAAACTAGAATAAATGTACACCAAGCAAGACTACAAAGATATTTAAATGAAGAAGGACTGTTTGGTAGATGGCCAAGATACAGACCAATTCTTCAGCCCAGGGCTTTGGAGATCAAGCAACAGTATTCAAATTAACATCTGAAGGCCAGAGCAGACATTTTAAAGCACATTTAATTAAACCAATATAGACCAGAAAGATAAAAATATTTGTGGCTTGAAATTTATAGTTGAAAAGATATCAGGATTTTCAGTACATCAAGGATTTTGGGCTGTTCCAGCCGACCAATATCAGGAGTTTAAGTTTATATTACCAGTTTACTATTCCAAACTGTCAAGTATTTGGTAGTACTAATTTATACAGCTCTCCAGGTAGGATTTGAATCCACAAAAGTCCAGTTACAAGTCCAGAATACAAACCACTGCTTGATGGTTCTGCTTGTGAATGAACCCACAAGCTCTTTGTCCCAAATGGACTCTCCATTTGTAACCTTTCTCATCATTATGTTCCCACTTTTAGTGTCCCTTATACACACTGCCGAATAGACCCTTATGTTTTTTCTAAACATAACTGGAAAACTTTGCAGTTAAGTACTTTGCAAAACTTACAAAGGACTTAACTGGTACTCCGAATCCAAGGTTCCAGGATTTTTAACATTGCTCTAATAGCATCCCAAGAAAAATCATTTGCCAAAAAGATCTCATAGATAAGATACTTTATCCTAGATGGTTTCGCCCACAGGGATCTGAAGCAGTTTAACATGCCACGGGAAGTCACTAGACTAGAGAGAGCAAAGGGTGTGTGGAAATGTCTTTTTTCCTTTCATGAATACAGCTGTGCTGCGTAATGTGAGTGAATTAAATCCGTACTTTTCCGTGGTCATGTAATTTCTTTGTGTTTGTCTTCCGTTTTTTATGAATCCAATTATTTTATTATCCTTTAATATGTTTAACTGAAGCTTTCAAAATATCTGGCTATAGGCCTAGTAATGAAGAATGCTAAGGATGTCAACTATGTAAAACAACATTTAATTTTGAAAATGTTGTAATACAAAGACATTTCACAACGGCCTAAATGGTGACTTTTGGGAAGACACCAAATCGTTTTTCAAAGTTCCGCTTTTAATATTTTCTGAGGTCCATAAAAATCTGCGGCGCTCCATCAAGGTTTATTTTAAACTGCAAGAAAATTATCGCAGCTGTCATCTTTTGCTGAAACCCTGTCTGAAACGCGGCAGATATCAAAGCAGGTCTCAACGAAAACTAGACTGCTCGCTGTCAAGGGTTTCAGAAACAAAATGAAACTGCAAGCAAACCGCATTAAAGAGTCATATATTTATATATATTATAAAAGGTCAAGAAATAGAGAAGAAACCCGCTGGGAGCTACTACAGAACTCTGAAATTGAGGGATATTTTTGTTACTGTTAGATGCAACCTATCATCGCAGTGGTGTGTTTACAAGAATTCTGGCAAGGGTTAACGCCATGTTCAATTTCGAAACACTCAGCCCTATTAGGACGCAACAAGCTTTTATGTCTGGCCAAACAAAAATTAAAGGCAGACTACTTCAAAAAGTGAGTTAATATAGCAGGCTAATATTTTTACACTATTTATCTGGCTAGTCTACATTGTTTAGGCAGATAGTTGAACACAGTGCTCGCTGTTGAAAGATGACTCGGCTCTGAGCTGTGCTACACTGGCCAGCGGATTGACAGAGCGCGCAAAAGGCCGCTGCGCACCTCAATTATTTGAAGTCTCTAAAAGAGAGGCACAACAAGAATGAAATAATATTTCATAGCCTTATTTGTGTAACTACGTAATTTATGTTGTAAGGATCCTACAAGTGTGCAGGTTTCATAACTCTTTGAAACCCCATTTGAAGGTTACCAAACCAAAACGGCTTTAAGATATTGTTCTGCTCTCTTCCCACATCAACGGTTCGAATTTTCTAGCAGTTCATTCACATGTATGTTCTAAAATGTTTTTAAATCGAGACAAATGAGCGTTCAGTCACGGACAAGACCATGTTGTGAAACACTATATTGAGATAGAAAACATTGCTTTGTTTGTCCTGACTTTTCAACACAGCTGTGTTTTCCCTGTTGAAGACAGTGACCTCTTCTCGTTAGTAACCTTCTTATAGGTGTTATAAGAATGTTATAACCTTCTAATATTGTTCTAGCGTTATAATTAAAGAAGAAGGATGATCGAATGGTATCCCCTTGTTTGTAATTATTGTTAAGACAGAGATATTTTTGCACGCACTATATTGAGCGAGTATATGTTTCTATCTCTTACTCAAAAATATATACAGTAGTGTTACATGTTAAAACCAATAGACTCAGCACAAAATCCTCGCTTGCATTACATACAGAAGTTTACATATGTAAGTATTGTCCTCTCGCCTCGGACAGTTATTGTACCTGTGAGCTCAAATTGCTGCTGTAAACTGTCCTGTTTAAATGGGAGCTCTCTGCTTTTGAAACGAGATTACCGCAAATACGATTTTTATGCAATTACTTTTTCTGTCAATGGACGATCAGATATATCATTTTTTTTAAAAAAACGTACTTAAATAACTGTTCTTTCACTACTCATTCCATGTGCATATTACTGTAAATGTTATAAAATATTTTAAAAAGTAGGTTTTCATCTTCAGTCCACGGGTGACTTTTCACGCACATTTTTTGTTGTTGACGAAACATTTTTTGCTGCTTTAACACGCTTTAAAAAACACATCAAACTCTTACAGCACGCTCGTTGTTTTATGTAAATAACTGTTTTTTAGTCCATTAAATTGGTTTCTCGTAATACATTTCCTTGTAACCAATAACAAAATGAAAATAAACTATTAAATGCAATATTCTGCATTTAAATTCCCATTAACACCCCCTCCACTTTCTATGGTGTTGTTTATTATATGCAAGAGCTCTAAAGTTGGAAATAAACTGTACAGGGGATTTAGCTGAACTGTGGTTGAAGAGAAGCAGCGCGCGACAGCTAATTAATTATAGCACACGTCCCACTGGGTTACTGAGACAAAGACGACTCCGCGTCTCCTCACCTGTTGTGCTGTTCGGCGCCGTCACATTCATCCTCTTTGAAATACGATATAGAAGGGGTACTCATAAAAACTCATATTTTATAGGTGAAGTCGGGACATCTGATGAAATAAGCTCACATTTCGCTTACAGTGGCATATTAATATTATATTTTTGCTTAGAAGTAATTTTAGGTTTAACGGTTTAAGAGAGCTGA